CCCCGGCACGATTTCACACCTTGAGTATTAAAAACGAATTTGAGTAAATCCAGCTGGGTTGCGTGAATTATTTAACAAAAAAAGTGTCAAATATTCATTCTTATAAGATGAAATCCCTCCAAACTCCGATTCAACTTGATTTTTTGGTTTTTTGGGGAAAATAGAGTTCGACTGAAAATTATCATCAAACTGATAGAATAGAGCACATTTTACACGTTGACCCATAGCGAAACCAGTGCATTTCACGATCACCCATAGTGAAATAACATTTGAAATGGGGGGGGGTATAAGAGCAATATCCAGTAGAGGATTATTGGAGAAGGAATGAGAATTCTGGAAATCGAGAGCTTTGCCTTGTTTGATTCCGATCATCCGAAAAATTAAATACTCAATGGGCAATTCATGGTACACACCCGCAGATTCACGTCCACAATTTCATTGCCAATTGAATGATAGATCAATCATGATGATTAGTCTTAGAATTTCACTACATTTCTCCTCCAAAGATCAAGAAAAAGAGGCGATTTTATAGGACTTTTGTCATTTAAAATGCTCTTGACACATGAATGTTCAATTTTCTTGCAGACTTGGCGACTAAATATATTAAAAATGTTTAAAAGCAAACTGAAAGTTGGAGCTCTTGACAACCAGTCAATATTTAAATTCAAGCAAAAGGATTGAAAGAAGAGATCTCGTGACAAAAATCATTTGAGAATACCTAGTTTTAATAATTAATACACGACAAAATGTCAGAATGAGAAAAAGTGGATATTTGTCAGAGTGAAAATGTTTCCACCAGTGAATAAACGTGATTAACACTAAAACTTTCCGGAAGGGGTTTTCAGGAAGTCAGCTCTAATAGAAGTGACTGCTGTTTGACATGTAGGGAAAAATTACTGTATTTTTCATTTTTAAAGTACAAGTCAACCATTAGCTTCTTCCACAATTGACCCCCCCCCCTTGAGAAACAGGATTAAACTCCAGGGCTCTGAGATTAGGAAAATTTTGAACAAAAACAATTTTGATTTGTACAAGTGCATTAAATAAGTAAAGATAATACTAAATATTTAATAGAGAAAATGCCTGAGAGAAATAATTGAATACAAGTTCATATCAACCCCAATTCTTCAATTGCTTTGTATTTAAGAAAAAAAACACTATAAATAGGCTGTATTGTTAGACACGCCGCATAAAATGCTGTATCAATTAAAGATAGAAGGAGGTAACACTGATAGTTTTGCGATGAAGATAATGAGTTTTAATGACTCACTCTTCACCCTTAACATGGCGCATTTAGGACGCCTTTGTTAGGTCCTTGGGACATGATTATCTGAGTGTTATTGACTCTTCTTGCCATCTTACCTTCTTTCCAATGTACAAAGTTTGATCTAATCACGTTGTGCCTAAGGCACTATATCTGGTACTTTTTTTCAAGGAAAAAGTTCAGAAGAAAGGGAGATTTTTCTGTTCAACAAATTGCATAATCGCATACTTGCCAAACGTTTTCCCATAAGTTTACAGCAAAAGGAAAGCTACATTACAAATGATTGAAGTTTGTGGGCGCACAACACTACCATCTCTGACGAAAGGAATCTCATACCCCTTTAGAACATCCTGGAGAGTGCTTTAAGCAACTTCTAAGCCAATCAGCAATCGAGTTTGTGCACCATACCACAACATTGTTTACATTTATCGATTAAGCATGTCGGAAGGTGGAGATATGTGTAACATGCCACATCCACTCATATTTGTCAGAGATCGGTTGTATTGGTTGGCAGTAACTTGAACTAATTAAAAGGTTTAATTAATTTGCATCAAGACTCATTTGTAGAGTATCAAGTAAAAGTTAATGCGATTGGACGGTGAGATATCCACATTTATAGCCATAGAGCATTTGGTTCTAATCCCTTTACATTCCATGCTCGACAAACGCCTATTTACCAAGAATGAGATATCTCATTTGTCTTGAAAGAGCATTCATTATAATAAGGCCTGTCTCCTTAAAATTGAAATTTGGCATAATTCACTATTACAGTAACTAACACAGTAACATTTCTTTAGGAGCAGTAACGAAAAGACGCATAAACAAATATTTTGAAACAGAGAAAAAATGGGTCTGACACATTCTAAAAAACCGATAGCCTGAATTCCACCAAGCCCTTCCTTTTAAAAGGCCTTTCGTGAAAAAAACATGCATTACTTAATGGCTACCTTACTTTTGAATTGAGTTTTAAATTAACAATATTGTTACACATTCTTCACCCACTAACACCCTTTGGGACTGTATGGTCCTCTTTCAAAACAAGCTCCATTGGCACTAGACTTCTAACAGAAGGCGCTATTGACGTTTGAAACATGTTCAATACGCCTTTAGCCGTCTCCTGATACTGCCTTAACTCATCACGTTGGCAGCGGATCGGTGATCTGCCGTGAGACACGCACGAGTGCACAAAAATATTTTGGGCGTTATAGGGTAAATTAAATTTTTCTAAAAAAATGCTGCAAACCGAAGAATGCCGAAACTTACGAGCAAGACCCAGCCGAAGATAGAGGTTGACAGGCTCTCCGTTCCTAGAGTACTTGACAATGAAAGAAACTGGACCAGAGATGCGTTGAGCAGCCTCGAAAGTCTCGCCTCTCTTCACAGCAAAGTAGACTGTGGTACCGAACATTACACAAGCGCTGGTAGCATACAGAGCACCCAGAAGCATGTCATGCACCACTGGTGTGAGGCTGTCCTATCCATATGCAAAAGGAAGCGACACATCAGTTTCATTAACTTATACTTGTAATTAAGCACTTGTTATACTACTTACAACAATGGGAAAAAATAAGTAGTAGTTCCGCTAGGCAAAGGCATACTGAGTGCGAATTTTAACCATGCATTACTAAGGCGAGCCACAGTATCTAAGGCAATAATTTTCTATTATTCTCAGAATTTAACTAGTGACACCCGAATATGCCACTTATAACGCAATTTAACAAACAAATGACGGTTTTGCTATTTGTATTAAATGAGGGCTCTAATCATGCATAATTGTAACAGCTAACAATTTCGTTCTTATAGTACCTTCCTTATACTGACCGAAATAGAACAAATAACTAAAGACTTGGCAATAGTTCTGTCTGATGTCTTCCGTATAACGGAGTGGTTGGACGGGGGCTCGGATACACGATTGCCATGGGTAAGCCTAAACTTTACGCCTATTTAATCTTCATTAAATCAGGATGATTATCATTTTCATTGTTAGAGTTCGCACACAAAGACATAGACCCACTGCTTCAGTGATCACTTAACTCTCCTCGGTTTAAAGAACATTATGACAGCACAGCAAGTAAACATCAAATTGTACAAAGTCCCTATATTCAAATTCCACCACACCCCCCCCCCCTCTTTTTTAATAACATTATGTTATAACAGTTTTTTGAAATCGTTCAAAAAGTTGGCCTAATTTCCAAACGTCTATCATTGGTAGTCTTAGGTTCTTGGGTTTCCTTTACATTATTTCCTTATAGGAGTAACCTCACCACAGTTTCCATCTTCCTTTCACCTTGCCATAATGCTAACTGTTGACAACTATTTCAAGATGCTTCTTATAAGGCTCTATTGAATTTTGTAATACTCATTTTCTACACATCTGCACGTTTTATTAGACTCTTAATTGCACTTAACTGTACACTCTAACGCTTCACTTCTGGCCTAGGGTGGTTGGATAAATGCAGTCTACTTTAGCCTATCTTTGAAACATTAAAGTAAAGGAAGTGGCTGAAAAAAGTGTAAAAAAGAAAATTTCTTTAAACTTCTAAAATTTTGTTAATATATATATATATATATATATATATATATAAAAGAGCAACAAAGAAGAGCTAACTTTAAATGAGCTGATAGACAAATGGGTGCTTGTTAAGGNTGAAAAAAGTGTAAAAAAGAAAATTTCTTTAAACTTCTAAAATTTTGTTAATATATATATATATATATATATATATATATATAAAAGAGCAACAAAGAAGAGCTAACTTTAAATGAGCTGATAGACAAATGGGTGCTTGTTAAGGAGGCCAAAAAAGTTATATTTTAAAGCAACATTAATGGAACGCAATAAGTTTAAGAATAATAATAATAATAATAATAATAATAATAGAATTGCCGATTGTGAACTTAGTAGTAGTACTGTTCATAAACGAAATTTCCCTCCATTTACCCTTTTTTAGCCCCCCCCCCCCCCCCCCCCCCCCCCCGTCTACAAAACGCAGGAGTTTCGCTATTAGGACACAAAAGCACTTGCGGAAATAAATTAAGACAAGGTGACATTTAAGATGGTTTGGACATTGAATGTCTTAGCACGCGCATAATTTGAGTTGACAGCGGATTGAACCTCAATCTAAGTGATAGATGAAAAAACACTCCACCACTAATTGAACATGAAGACACCCGAATGCAAAAGCAATAGATAGAGAACTTCCACTAAAAAATTTCCATTTGTGCATTTTTATTCCTTGCGTTATTGAAAGCGCATCCGTTTGGTGCCTTGAACTATTCCCATTAAAATACAACTGTGCACTCAAGATTTCAAGACACTTCCAGTTAGAAATAGGTGGACTTATAAATGCTAAATGCACAGGTAATCAATGTTAATATTAGCAAAGGAAGCATAAATAACAAAGCTAGAGGCTTCAATTGTTAGGCGTTATGATTAGTGGCCGAAGAGAGCACAAAGATCAAACAATTAAAATTTAAATTCAAATGCCACCTAACGAATCAGCGGGGGGAATGGGGGATACTTGCCAATTTTGTGACGCATCTTCTTCATACTTTTGCAATAGAGGAAATAGTTAGTTAAAGCTATGATAATAATGACAATAATAATAGGCACATTTATACGGATCTCTAAACCCGTACAATTTTCGTTACAACAAAAAATTATCAACTCTAAAACTTCAAAATATGCCAATACTAAACCTCAATAATGAGTAAAATAAGAATATCAGTGGCTTTTGCATCTTGTATCCGGACTGAGTGTCAGAGCTTGAAGCACAGTTGCAAGATTCTAATATCATTAGAGGAGTCAAGTAAAGTCCCTTCTTTTTGCAACAGGAAGCATTTTTCCTTCCTGCTTTCATCTGCCAACAAAAAATTCCAAAAACAGAAGGTGAACCATAAAACTCATTAGCTAAGATCTAAAATATGACAAATTTGCGCAAAATATTTGACTGCACCCCGGGTTTCAGATTTTAGTCGCCTCTCCTGGCAAACTAATGGTAGTTTAGGATTTCCGATAGGAAAGTATGCGAAAGTGAGTTATTTTTTCGCTGATGAATTGTGAATTGTGCCTCCGAAACATCTCACTCATTCGTCCTAGTGATCTAATAAAACGACTCTCTATGAATTGAGGGTGGTATTCTAATTGACTGCTTATGGACAATTATAATGCGACTTAACCAATCCGATCAATGATACACTCGTAAATTTTACCTAGTACGCCAGACAGTCATCTGTCGGTAAGTTTTAAAAGTCAAATTTACCAAATAGCAACAATATAAAACATTAGTCGTATGAAATGGTAATGGGAAATCCCCAGGTCCGCATTAAAAGCATTGGGCATAATTAAAATGCTTACTACTAATTGAATAACTGTAAGAAAGTACAATACAATAGAAAATTGGGAAGAGAATTGACAATTGATTACGATAGATGGAGTGTTCCTATACGATTACTACCGAAACTATACAACAAATAGGCCTTAATCAGAGTGCAATTTTGCTCTGTTGAAACTGTGGCACATCAAAATGCTATTCCGATTGAAATCTTGATAAATAACAATTATAATAATTAGATTTCATTCAAATTTACTTGATGAAAAACATTAGACAAGAGGAGATGAGAAAACGCAGTCATCGCAAATAGCATAAGCTTCCCAAGTACCGTCACTTCTTTATGAATCCAGCTTAATTCAAAAGGTACCCCCCCCCCCCCCCCCCCACGTACAAAGTAAAAGCCACTTCCATTAACAAGACTGCCCTCCACTTAGAGTTATCCGAACTCAAAAAGAAAGAGGAGAAATGAAGTAAAATATCGACTTTTTCGCTTTTGTTATGTATGGAAATTACTGACAACCTGCTTAGCCAATAGTTGTGTGAGTCGTGAGATGACATGTCCAATCAGGAGAGTCGAAAGCTGAAAATCGATAACCCAATATCCGAGGGACATGAACTACAAATTTCGCAAGAACACAAATATGGGAGTTTGGCACATATATTCCATTGAGAGGAAATTCAGCAGTTTAATAAATGATCAATGTTTCGATAGCACAAGGTCACGAGACCTTATATCGAAAGAAGTGGGCAACACGACTTTTACTGGAATTGGTTGACTTTCTTTTAGCAAAAAATGTGCTAGAAGGGAATTTTAGCAAAATTAGTCGTTTGGACAGGAAAAAAGGCTCCAAAGATTGAAAATAGGATAATTTTGTAAATACCTTACACTAACCACACACAACTTGAGAGTTCTTAATTATTAAAAGCTTAAGAAACTATTAGAAGGCTTATATGATCAACCAGTCACATCTCAAAGTAGATACGCGAAATCAATTACCCTATTTTTAAATACAAAGCTTCCCTTATCATAAACTTGAATTTTTCAAGATTAAGCAAGGGGCATTGACAAAAGAAGGGTCTTCCAAAACGCATCCCAGCACATCACATCGTACTAGGTAAAAACCAATTCCATATTAGTAAAGCAAAATAGCCGAAAAACTGAACAGACAAGACGGTTATCAGCTTAGGAATGGCCTCCTGAGGGTAAAACCCAAATATCAATCTTCACGACCGTTCAGATTGCAGAAACGATTGCTCAGTTTTCACCCATTTGAAAAATAGTGTCAAATCAACTCCATCATAAAACAATAGCAGAGAGTATGACAACACTTGATTAACACAGATTGCGATGACGCCAGAGTGTCAAATCACTTGTCTAAACAGTCATTTGGTGGCATAAATGAAAATATCACCATTTAAAGGTATGGGCAGAGCGAGTAGATTTTTGCAGAGATTTTGTCCTCTATCATATGTCGAGAATACGTTTTACTATAGAATCACCAAATTAACATATATTTACGATGAAAATTTGTTTTTTTTTTCACATATCCCCCTGAGACGGCAAGAAGTTTAATGAATAACATTTGTAAAGACGCCTGATTACCAAACAATCCTTAATTGAAAAGAAAATGATATCGCTCAAAGTCCTTACAGCATAACTTAATTTAATTTAAGAGAGCTTTAATTTGGCTAGCTTCAGTTTGCCTGACATTTGGCTCTTAGCACAATCGAAACGCACATTTAGCTGCTAGCTGGAGTTAACTTCATGAACTTCGATGTCACATAAGTGATAGGCGGATCAAAACGTGATTTGGTTAACTCCTTAAACCAGTCAAGTGATCTATTAACTCTAGACATCACAAGCAAGCAGATGAATGTTTTTACTCAGTTCTCTATTTTTACCCCCTATTCCATACACTTTACACTAAAATTTAAACGTTTCTTTTTGTTTCAAATGATTAAATGAATACATTAAGATTTTGTGAGAGGTATCGCCTACTTCTTTAGCTCATAATTGCCCGTGTGATCATAAAATTTCCCATTTGGTAAAGTATTAACCACCGATGATTGAAATTGGACAGACAAAAAAGGCTTAATGGAAACGTACGAGTGGCTG